ACCCCATGGCCTTCTGGGTGCCGCGTCCTTTGGGGGTCGGTCCCTTGCTCCACTCCCATTTGGCTCTCTGGAGGCAGCTTCTTGTGGCAGTCATCACCCAGAACTCCCTTCCCTGCCCCGCTGAGAGTCCCGGGTTTCTCTTGGGGCTGGGCCCAGATCCCAGGACCAAGCCCTCCTCCTCTTTGATCCCCTTGTCCAACATCCTCTGAGCCAGGGTAGTGGGGTCGGCTGGTGGAGGTCAAGGGTGCAGCCGAGCATGTTACCAGGGAGCCCCAAGCACTGGCATCAGCTCTGTCCTGAGCAAGCTGGTTTCCTCCTCTCACGCCTGGGGTCAAGTTCTGAGTTCCAGGACCGGAACTGATGTGACGGCTTTGGGAGCCTGGGGAGTTATCACACCCCTCGGACCTGTGCAGGGCAGGGTCTCACCTATCCAGTGTGACTTCCTGTCCCCAAAGCCCAAACCTCTCCAGTTCAGACTTTCAGTGGATAAGTCCTGGGTTTGAGGGGAGGGGGGGCACGGGCGCCCAGGCTCACAGTGGGGGGGGGCACGGGCGCCCAGGCTCACAGTGGGGGGGCACAGGCGCCCAGGCTCAGTGAGTGGGGGGGCACGGGCGACCAGGCTCACAGGGGGGGGGCACGGGCGCCCAGGCTCACAGTGGGGGGGCAACGGGCGCCCAGGCTCACAGTGGGGGGGGCACGGGCGCCCAGGCTCACAGTGGGGGGGCACGGGCGCCCAGGCTCACAGTGGGGGGGCACGGGCGCCCAGGCTCACAGTGGGGGGGCACGGGCGCCCAGGCTCACAGTGGGGGGGGGCACGGGCGCCCAGGCTCACAGTGGGGGGGGGGGCACGGGCGCCCAGGCTCACAGTGGGGGGGGGGGCACGGGCGCCCAGGCTCACAGTGGGGGGGGGCACGGGCGCCCAGGCTCACAGTGGGGGGGCACGGGCGCCCAGGCTCACAGTGGGGGGGCACGGGCGCCCAGGCTCACAGTGGGGGGGGGCACGGGCGCCCAGGCTCACAGTGGGGGGGGGCACGGGCGCCCAGGCTCACAGTGGGGGGGCACGGGCGCCCAGGCTCACAGTGGGGGGGGGGCACGGGCGCCCAGGCTCACAGGGGGGGGGCACGGGCGCCCAGGCTCACAGTGGGGGGGGGCACGGGCGCCCAGGCTCACAGTGGGGGGGCACGGGCGCCCAGGCTCACAGTGGGGGGGGGCACGGGCGCCCAGGCTCACAGTGGGGGGGGGGCACGGGCGCCCAGGCTCACAGTGGGGGGGGGCACGGGCGCCCAGGCTCACAGTGGGGGGGCACGGGCGCCCAGGCTCACAGTGGGGGGGGGCACGGGCGCCCAGGCTCACAGTGGGGGGGGGCACGGGCGCCCAGGCTCACAGTGGGGGGGGCACGGGCGCCCAGGCTCACAGTGGGGGGGCACGGGCGCCCAGGCTCACAGTGGGGGGGCACGGGCGCCCAGGCTCACAGTGGGGGGGGGCACGGGCGCCCAGGCTCACAGTGGGGGGGGGCACGGGCGCCCAGGCTCACAGTGGGGGGGCACGGGCGCCCAGGCTCACAGTGGGGGGGCACGGGCGCCCAGGCTCACAGTGGGGGGGCACGGGCGCCCAGGCTCACAGTGGGGGGGGGGCACGGGCGTCCAGGCTCAGTGAGTGGGGGGGCACGGGCGCCCAGGCTCACACTGCCTCTGCCACATTCACTCCCAAACAGGTGCCCAGTCACTGGTGGGCAGAATTCGCCAGCAGACCCGGGCCTCCCTGGCCGCCAATGTCTGCAAGTCACTTCACTTAGGCTTGTTTTTTTAGTTTGTTTTTTTAAAATTTTCCTTCTAGTCAAAGTCACACTACACTGACTGCAGGGATTTCGGAACGTTATAAAAATGCTGCAAAATGTGTATGAGGAAAAACTGCTCACCGTGAGTAGCGAGCACAGCCGCGTGGAACTGGAACCGGAACCGGCAGGGTCAGCACCGCCCCCCTCTCCTCAGAAACCCAAGGCGCAGGCCGCCCCTGCCATGAGCAGCCTGAGCTAGCAAGGAGCAGAGCCCAGTGAACCAAGGCTCACTTACAGAGCAGCCATCTGCCTCCCCGGCCACGCAGTGACTGTGAGCATGTGCACGAGCTCAGTGTCTATTCCACGTCCAGGGGTGACAGGAGGGAGACGGCACACCGAAGGGCCCGCACAGTGTCACCTGCCAGAGTGGGGCTGGGTGGTGACAGAGAGCCCCACCTTTTACCTTAGAGACTTCTTTACTGTCCAGAGTTTTAAATGAAGGAACAAAGAAAACAAAGAAATATAAAATAAAATTTGGAAAGAAGAGTCAAGAAACAAAAGTAACCATTCTCAATCCTGCGAATTAATTGGGGTCACATTCCATCAGATCTGCTGAAACACCCGCATAAACAGAGTGTCTTGTATGGACTGGGCACTCAATGTTTTTTTTTTTCCAATTTTTTTCTTTATTGATTTTAGAGAGAGGGAGAGAGAGCTAGAAACATCGATGAGAGAGAACGACAGACTGCCTCCTGCACGCCCCCCACTGGGCATCGGGCCCACAACCCGGGCATGTGCCCTGACTGAGAATCAAACCAGCGACCTCTTGGTGCAGGGTTGACGCTCAACCACTGAGCCACACTTGCTGTGCAGGCACTCAATGTTTTTGAATAAATGAACAAACATTTCCCTGGTAAACTTTAAAAGCTTAGTCAGAGGAGTGGGAAGTCTAAGTACGGGACCTGGAAGTAAAGAGGTCGGCTCTAATGTCTGACCCTCCAGTCCATTCTCAGCATGCGAATCAAGCCGTGGGATGTTCTCATGCTGTGCAGTGTCCCAGGGTCACTGTGCTTTCTCTGGAGAGGAGACCTAAAGGTGCTACTTCTGCTCCGGCAGCAGTCACTGGGCAGTGCTGACAGCTAAGGCTCAGCCTGGGCCTCCAGGGCGCCCCTGCAGGACCGCCAGCCAGGGCTCACTGCTCGCCCCAGAGCCTGACCACCTGGCATCGCGCGACACAGTTCTGAAGTCGGCCTCACTTGCAGAGGCTCCCTTCCAGTCTTTCTGACACATTGCTGTAGCTACTCTGTGCATTAGAATGAATCCCAGGGGAAATTACATTTCCTTTAGAAGGTTTTCAAGATATTTTTTCATATAAGTAATTTCACAGCCCACGTTCAGGGTTTTTTTTTTTTTTGCTTAGCTTTCTGCTTCTTGCCTTTCTAATTGCAGTTGCTCTGTTCAGGGGCTGAGAGGGTTCCCAGGGGAAGCCTGCTTCTCCTAAGAAGCCAGTGAAGCTACTCAGAGAAACAAGGCCTAACGGCAAAGTTCAAAGCGTGCAGAGGTGATTATGCTCACTCTTGTGCACTTACACATAAGGTGAATTAGGGTACCTAAAGACTTCCAATACCATAAAAAAATCACACTGAATAAAAGGAACCAGGAGTAGTTTGAGTGAAGTTTCTGTAACCCAGGAGGTCACCTCCACCACTGAATTAACAAAATGACATTATTTAAAATGTACCTTAAAACCCGCCGCGGATTTACATCTAGCACAAAGAGGTAAATACCAGCATCTAAACAGGTTTTCTACGAGCTAGCAAAAACATTTAGAAGTTTATGAAATAATTGCATATTAGGGTAAGTTATAAAATCAAACAATAAAAAATTCCTACGGACTTGGGCATGCTTGAAGTGATTAATGACTGGTAATTCGTATATTCTAATTTCTGGGAAGGTCTTTATGTTTCTGGAAGAACAGGCTTGTATGCACATGTGTGTTTTGGTGTCTCCCCAGAACTGGGTGTGAATCATGCACTTTTATGCATAAAGTGCTCTGAGTGACACGGACGAGAGGCCCCACTACTCATGCTTGAGAATGACGCTGGTTTGCTTGAGACGTCTGCCCTGGCTCATGGCTCAGTCGTTTGGAGCATCGTCCCATACACCAAAAGGTTACGGGTTTGATTCCGCTCAGGGCATACACCTAGATTGCAAGTTGGATCAGTTGGGGTGCATATGGGAGTAAACCAATCGATGTTTCTCTCTCTCTCTCTTCCTCTCTATTTAAAAATCAATAAGAAAACATAACTTCAGGTGAGGATTGAAAAAAAAAGAAGTCTGAAAAAAATAAATTATGAAGATAGACAAAGCCTTGAACCACAAGAGTAGTCTCTGCAGCCAGGAAACTGCTGTTGGTACAGTTACAGGAGGGGGAAGCGAGGGCAGCTGGGCAGGTGGAAATGCTATTTACGCAGTTAGTCCAGGAAAGGCCTCCATGCGGAGGATACTCTGAAATTAGAACACGTACTTGACTTTGTTTTGGTTGGTGATGTAAACTAACCTGAAAATCTCTTTCATAAATGGATTAAAATACCCTAAGAAATATAACAATTCCCCACCCCACCCCCTGAACTGGGAAGAAGGAAATCCTTCCCTGCCAGAAACAGGAAGAAAATGAAAAGGGAGCAGACAGCCTCTGACAGGAGGTGTGGGAAGAAGATGTGCCAGGAACCTAGGGCTGGGGTCTGATCACCTGCAGGTTTCGGAGAAGAGAATGACAGCTGGCATTTTGGTGACAAAAACACTCCCCTGTCCTGGAAAGTCAGAGTGCCTTGGGGCTCCGTGTGTTTCTTCTTCTGTTTTCTAACCGCACTCAGTCCCTGGGTGATCATACCCACTTTATTTAAGTACCATCATGTAAACCTATCCCAGGCCAGATTCTTCTCTTGAACTTCACTTATGGATCCAACTGCCCAGACACGGTCTTGCTGGGATGTTCACAGACGCCCCCGTGGAGTCCCATTCCCTCCTGTGATTTGGCTCACAGACATGAAGGGTAACTCTATTTCCTGGTAGTTCAGCCCAGAAGTCTGCACATCAACCCCCACCACCCATCTTCCTCCCACAACCACATCTTAACTGAAACACCATGAGATTGTTTCCAGAGAAAATTAAACTTGGTATACAACTTAAAACTTTTTTAGAAACAGAAATGATCACTTACCATGTTACTGGGGTCTCTATCAGCTCGATTTAGTTCAAAAGCATGTATTTTCCGGGCACTGATGTCATCCGTGTCAGCAATGACATAATGCCTGGGAGAGTAAGCACTGGACAGGTGCTCCAGCAGCCTCAGCAGCTCAGTGGTATGCCCACCTGAAAAAAAAACAGGACTCAGATTAAGAGACTGCAATGGACACACCTATTTAACTGTGTTATGCTAATGCTACATCCTGTGTATTTCTCAAAAACAGAAGGAACAATTGGAAACAGTAATCTGTGCCCTCGTGTAAATACTACTTTTATGTGGAGAGGAGAGCAAACGTATAAAAATAAAATCAGCACGAGCAGTCAGTGCTAAGGAAGGTGCTGAGAAGTGTCGGACACATTCCTGTTATCAAGAAGCCCCAGGGGAGAGGGCAACAACACACACACACACACACACACACACACACACACACACAGTGATGCGAGAATACAAAAAAAATAAAAATGGCCCAGGCCAATTTTCTCAGTGGTTAGAGCATCAGCTTGCGGACTGAAGAGTCTAGGATTCAATTCCTGTACCTGGGTTGCAGATTCAATCTCTGGCCCTGGTCTGGGTGGTGCAGGAGGTAACCAATCAATGTTTCTCTGTCACCTGTCCACTCTATCTAAGAAAATCAATGGAAAAATATCCTCAGGTGAGGATTTAAAAATAATAACAAAAATAAAAATGGGCGGGGGAGCAAACGGCTATGAAAACCAAAACCACAAAGTTGGGGAGATCCCTGGGGAAGGTGGAGATGGCCCCAAGGTGAAGCCAATAGGAGTGGAAGGGCCACTGCGTGTGGGTGGGATCATCAGGGCACATGTCACCGGGCAGGACGGCCAGCTCTTACTGGGATGGAATGTCCCCCGTGCAGCTGTCCCACCGGCGGCACGTAACTGTTTCACCCTCGTGGATTTTGTATACCTATTTTCCTAGCCTCATCTATCTTGATTCCTAAACTCAATATACAATGCCTGGATTAATCACACAAACCAGCAGTTTATGATTCAGGGAAATTGCATGTCAGCACCAAAAGGCTTCTGCATCCTCTCTGTTCACTAATAATTTATTAGGAAACTATACACTGCAGAGAGGCTTAATTACTGACAAGTGCAAGGTGCTCATTTGTCACTGAAGTGGCGGCCCAGAAGCGCCCGCCCACCGCACTGCGCCTGGCTGGGGCCGTTTCCGGTGACGCAGGTAAATTACAATTCTCAGAATGCAATGCGCACAAAGCGCAAAGGCGACCAAAGGACGGCATCGCAGTGCACTCTGGGGTTTGTAGTCCCGGCCCAGACTTACCCGACCCGGCCACCGCCATGAGACTGACAGACTCCCGGGGTACAACGACCCGAGAGTGAAGCACGAGCCACAGCCGCAGGGCCAGGACCACTGCCACCGCTCCTACCGCCGCCGCCAGGCTAAGAACGCACCCCATCCGTGGGAACTACGCATGCGTGCTGGACTTCGGAGCTACGGGCACTGAGGACACTCAAGCTCTGCGTGTCCAACGTCAGGCTGGGCGGGTAACAGGGAGGCGGAAATCCGGCCAATGGGACTTGGGATTCTGCCTGGCTACCGCCCAAGCGGAAGCTCAGATTCCGGAAGTTAAGCGCTGAAGAAGTTGGATTTCTGCCCCTGGTGAGGGCAGGCCACTTGGGCGCCCTAGAGGCCTGGGAACAACCAAGTTAACAAATATGCCAGCTCTGCCAACCTTGTGAACTCCATGTGAGGCCCAGTGGCTTACAATGCATTTGGTTTCTTTTTAAAATGCCAAGGGAGGTGTTTCTGTTGCACCTGCAGATATTGGCTGAAGGTGTTTGCCACTGAAAGGTGCAAAGAATTAAGGGCTCTCATCCTGGCTACAAAAGGTTGCTGTCACCATTCTAATGCCAATAGGAGGTAAACTGGGTGCAGTAAAAGGAGAGACTTTATGCAGGTAAACCGTTTGCAAACCTGGGAAACAACCTGAAATGGAAACCACAAGTGTGCTCCAGGAGGTAAACGGGGAGGCTGCTTTTTAAAGAGATACTGCGGCCCTGGTTTCTGATTGGTCCATTTTTATGCAAATGAGGAACTCATTTGCACATTGTGATTGGTTAAAATAGCGCTCTTCTGATTGGTCAGAATCATGAGTTTTGATTGGTTGTTATGGAGCTGCACTGATTGGTCTGCTCAGTAAAGATGCAAATAAAATATAGCTATGCAACTCTGATTGGCCAGGGTGGGTATCAGCTCATTGGTTGTAGTACAATTCCAGGAACTCCTTTATAAGGTGGGCTCAGATGGCAGAAACAGTGCGGGAGGCTGGCAGCTCAGGGTGCTGCTTTTCCGTGGTATGTGCATGCTGCATGCGTAGCCTCTGCGAACAGTGTCTGCTAGACCCTGACGATGAATTTGGGCCCAGTGAACCACAGGGAGCCTTTGGCAGGTACATTCCTTCTCAGGGTCAGCAATCCAAGTCTCGTCTTTCCCAACACTCATGCTTTTAAATTTTGGGGGCGTTTTCACAGCTCTCACACCGTGTGACTGTGATAACAGGGTGATCAACTCAAGTTATCCCGTGACTCTGAGGGGAGTGGAAGCCAGGGGGCTCAAGGTAGCTTGATAGAGAAGGTGTCAACTTAACAATTCATAATCTTACCATGAAGCCAACACCTCCCCCCATCCCACTTTTGCTTATTTTTATGGCATTGCAGCCATAGAAAAAGACAGATTGGAGAAGCCCCTTACCCAAGTGGGATTTGCTGTCAATCCCGTATAGACCTGTAGGTTGGACAGGGTGTTTCATTTTCCAGCACGCCCATATTTGGTCTTCTATCATTAATTCTCCTACCCCTCCATGCTCACAATAAGGTAGATATTATTCCCCTCTTCACAGGTAAAGAAGTGGATTCTATAAAAGTTAAATAATTTTCCTAGGATCAGATAGAGATGAAGAAAGTTTATAGTTGCGGGTGTTGAAGGCAGTGCCTTTCAGATTTGATGGGATTGGAATTCCCTGGGCTGACAAACGCGCAGTCGGAAGTGTGGGTAGGGCCCCGGCACAGTATGAATAATGGCAGAAGAACATTACACAGGATGCAGTTTGCTTTATCTTCCCAGTCTGCCATTCCCAGCAGTGGCTTCAAATTAAGACCGTCTCCCCTCATACTTAAAGGAAGATGTTAGTGGTCTCAGAAATTACATCCAGACAAGGCAATCTCCCCAGAGCAAAACAAGTGGTTATCTTGTCACTGGTACTTTTTTTGAGGGTGAGAAAACATTTTCCAGAATCCCTCACCACAGGCTTGCTTTCAATCCTGGCCACATTATATTGCCTGCCTATTTGTAAAGGAATGAGACCTCAGGGCTGGCTGGGGTAGGGTGGAGGGTGACATCCAGCTCACCTGTTGTGTCTGGTCGTTTGATGGAGGGTGGGTACTGAACAAAATGGTCATTCTCACGGAGAGGAGGAAGTTGGAGGAGGGTGGAGGAGCGGTGATTGTTGGGTAGGCAAATAATAGTGTTTGGATTGCTGTGGAGATAATGTGTTTGAGACGGCTGTGTAAACCAACACAGGCATATTAAAAATTATTAGGCTCCAGCCCCCAGAGGACATCCTTGCATTCACCATTGCCCCATCCCCTTACTACTGTCATTGCCTGGACATAGGGGAGATGTTTGACCAGCCTTGGCTTGCAGCTGGGATGAATGGGGTCGTTAGCGGCTGCCTGGAAGTGCAGAGACTCCAAGAGGGCGCAGTTGCAGCATTATTTGCAGTTGTGGGTTGAGTATTTGGGATTAAGGCTGGGGTCAAACTTCAGAGTTCCTGGCAAGATAGTTGAGGACTGCAGGGAGGAGCGAGGTGGCTGACAGGGACAGGAACAAAGTTGGGAACTCCTGAACAAAATAAATGTGTACCAGATGAGCTGAGCCCTGGGCGCCGACAGGCTCAGCATGTGTGGATAATCAAGAGGTCAGGAAGCTGGACTGGAGCCGTGGCCGGTTTGGATCAGTGGTTAGATGTCAGCCCTTAGACCCAAGGGTTTTGGGTTCGATTCTCGGTCAAGGGCACATACCTGGGTTGCAGGTTTGACACCAGCCCTGGTCGGGGCACATGTGGGAGGCAACCAGTCGATGTGTCGCTCTCACATCGATGTTTCTCTCCCTCTCTTTTCCTCTCTCCCTTCCACTCTATCTAAAACAACCAATGGAAAAAAATATTCTCAGGTATGGATTAAAAAAAAAGAAGAAGCTGTATTGGAAAGATAAGGAAGGCTGAGTGGGAAGAAGCAACACCTAAAATTTCTCGTGGGGAGGCAAGTTGCACTGCCAACACAGATGATACTGCGAAATGCGTGGAAAATGAATAAAAACTGACAAAATGAATAGGGTATTGAGCCATAGCCAGTCACAAGTAAAGGCCTGTTTTCCCCCGGGGAGCCCCGGCCGATCCTGTGGAGGGAGGCTGTGCCTGCAGTGAAGAGAAATGGGTTGGAATCAGCGATGGAGGCCACGAGGCCTGGGCTGTGCAGGGACGTGGGGACAGTCCAAAGGAAGCTGAGATGCAGGGACGTCCACAGCTCAGGAGGTCCGGAGGGTGCAGTGAAAACGGTTGAGGGTGGTGAAGAACGGGCATTGGGTCAGATGGGGGTTCACAGAGATAAGAATCAGAAGGCCCCTGGGGACTGGAGTAAACAGGGAAGGGTCTGGGCTGTGGATTCATTTCAGTCCCATTGTGCTGCACCAAGCCAGGCCCTGGGGTCCAGGGTGAGGCAGCAACAGCTAAAGCCTGGCAGTGACTCAACAATGGGCCCCTGTGGGAACCGCATGCCCTCAGGGCCTCCTGGAGGAAAGCACCACCGCCTGCACGTTCCCACAGGGGCTGCTGGGGCTGTGGGCTGCGGGGTCCTGGCCGCTGGCCCTCCCACCAGAGTCCAGCAGTCTTCAGTCTTAACAAGGGCAGTAAGGTATAGATGAAGACTGAGCTTTTCTGCAAGAGCCAGGGAGGCCGCTTTGGTCAGCATTATGCTCGTCCAGGACATGGTAGGGGAAGCTGGAAGGGAGCTTAGCCCGGGGCAGGGACGGCCACCGGAACTGCTGCTAGCGTGCCTTCCCATGGAAGGTCTGCCAGGCTGCGTGGGATGGGGACAGAAAGTATCCTAACTGCAGCCAAGACTTTTTCTTTCCTTGTCAAATATGCTAATGTGTGTTGAGGTTGCCGCCTTTTCCTGGATGAGCCACTTCCCAGGGCTCCTTGAATGGTGGCCCCAGGCCGGGACAGGAGTTGAATGCTCATCGGCACTTCCCGAGTGTTCGCGCCCTGCCAGGCATCGGACATGAATCAAGTAATTCCATCCTGACAACAAGCCCTGTGAGGCAGGCTTCTTAGTGACCCACATTTTATAAACGAGGGCATTAAGGGACAGAGAGATCATTTCATTTGCTCTGGGTTACAAGGCCAGGAAGTGGTAGCCAGGATCCAAAAAAGTTCACATTCTGTCCTCCTGCATTATCACTAAGAGTATTTATAGTGTACGTACACCGGCTGCCGTGCTCTGTATTAAAGAAAGTGAGATGGAAATGTAATATCTACCATACCTGGCTTTTTATTTGCAAAACTAAAACCAAATAGGAGGAAAGGATTTTGAAAATGTGGCTTCTTCACATGCCAGTCAAGAACTGCTTTTCTGTTTTCCAGTTTTTTTCTCCAGTGCGTTCAACAAGGACACCAGATTAGATATATAGACAGACATATTCATGTGTGTGTCTCTGTACACATACACATAAATATTACTCTTTTTTTAATCCTCCCCTGAGGATATATTCACTGACGAGAGAAGGGTGGGGGGGGGGGGATAAAACAAAACACATCAATTTGTTGCCTCCCATACTCACCCTCGGTGAAATTACTGGACACTAATGGTATTCTCTTACTTTATGTCCATTTAGCTCAGATACAGCTTTCTAGGCATGTTTACCAATTCCTTGCACTGGACCAGTGAACCACAAATGCTTTATCAGCTTCGAACCTAACAGGACGTTAACATCTTACTGTAAGCACATTCCCAGGTTTTTGTGGCCAGAGCCATGCCACGTTGTGGTTTGTGACGGTCACAAGTCGCTCCTTCCATTTTAAAGGGACTATATTTTCAGTTTTAGACCTACCTGTAGATAAAGTAAGAATTCTATTCCTGCACTAGAACTGCTTGTCTTTGAAATCTGTTGGATCGGTGTTCTCAGCCCTCCTTCTGCCCAAAGCCTCCGCCCAGCACCTGTGTCCAGTCTCTTTTCCTCTTGGTTGTACCTCTGCCCCTTCCCTCTGTGTCTCAAATTCTTTTCTGCCACCACAGAGCTTTCTATCCTTGATAGAAAGACACACATTGTGTTTTCACTCTTCTCTGACTAGACATTATTCCTTAACTTTATATGAAGAAATCCCACTGCAGACCTCCTGTGAAACACATGTCCATAACACCACCTGCCATCCCCTGTTCAGGAGACATCTGTGCACTTTCTCAGCTGCCTCTCTTGA